CAGGCCCCGGCCCGCCACACCGCAGGCTTCGGCCTCAGCTCGTGTTTCTCCCCGCACCGTGTCCGCCTCCGTTTTCCCTCCGGGCGGCCCGCAAGGCCGAGGGAGGCCTGCTCCTTTGCCGTCGGGGCCCCGGCGGGCACCGCCGCTGGACATCCGCCTTTTTTGTTCCTCCGGCCCCTGCGCGGTGTCTCTGCCGCTTTTGCCGGTGTGTTTGCGGTTTCTCGTGTTCCAGCAGCAGAGCCGCAGGCAGCGCCATCTCTCCCCCTCTCCTCCACCCCGTCTTGCAAAAACCCCTAGCCCTCGGAAATTAACTAGAGAATTCCCATGCCCGTCACCGCTTATCTTCACCTGTTGGTATTTTATTCGTAGAAAGTTTGTGTGCCCGCCAGCTGTGATTTTTAATTGCTTCTCACAATTCCCATCCTCCCGAGGCGTTAACCCTTTAAAAGGAGACGGTCAGACCCCCCGTCCTTTGTCTTTTCTCCTGGATTTCTCCTTACAGAATAAATTTGTAAATTGCAAACCAGAAGAGAGTCCTCCCCTCGCTCCTTCGCCTGATCCCAAAGACGAGTGTTCAAAGAAGGGCTGGAAAGCCCAAACCCGAATCAGGGCCAAAACAGTAGCCTCGGTTCAGGCCCCTCCTGGCCCGAGCCAGAGAGAACAAGAAAACCTATCTGAGCTGACCCTGGAAATCTCTGGCCCACATCAGTAATAGAACTATTCTGGATCTGCTGCAAAATGCATGTCACCTAATTACCTTGTTTTCCCTTGTCAGTGACTTATCTCTTTGACAGAACATTCTGTAAATTCTAAATTTCAGAACTCTGGATTAGAAGTCTGTTTGTGTATACTACATTCTATATATACACAGTGGCAACTTTTTATTCCAGTCTATTTTTATTTTTTTTAAACAAGTCCGCTTTAGAACTGGTTTTCTATCAATGCATAATTTAAGCTTCCTGTAAGGTCTTTTCTACAGTAGCTTCTACCTTTTATAATATGGCTGTTCTCTGTAGTTAGTGCATTCTCCTCCTCCTAGGTCCATATTTGATGCCATTCCCACACTCACACATTCTCTTTTTTCGAGATAAAATATTTGACCTGGTTTTTTTATTCAACATCTGTTTTTCACAGTAATAGTCACTCTGGACTGCTTTGGTGTTAAACCAGTTTATGTATTTCAGAGCACAAGATGGTTATTTTTAAGGTTAAGAGGAGGAATCAAAAAATTAGCACTTAAAAATGCTTAATGAAATTTGTCCTCACAAAAGCAAGCAAAATGAAGACTGTTAATTAGAAAATATAAAAGAAATATGAACTACTACTAGAAAGTACACTTGTTTGCTTACACTGCTTTTTGCAGAATGTTTGTTATTTTGTTTTTCTTTAGTAAGTTACTTATGGGACTATCCAAAATACAGTTGCTGTAAATTGATTAAGAAAAAAAGCAGGAAATATTAAGGAATATTATGCTTCTGTCTGTGTCAGATGACAGGAAGAAGTCTTAAACCCCTATGTTCTGCCACTTGTCTATTGCACTGAAACAGCTTTTAAAAATCTTTGTTACATCTCTTCTGCCATTATACTTTGAACTGTTTTTGATGCTGTTGTTCGAAGTATGGTCATTATTTTTGATATATTATTATATAATAATTATTTCTTTTATGCATACCTCCCTAGGCTTGTTAATTTGGATTTCTGCAAAATTAAACTTTGGAACCACATCTACTTTCCCTTAACAGCTTCTGTGTGCTTGGATAATTACATAACTGAAATTTATTTATTATAGTAAAGAAACATTAAAAAGGATTTAAATTAATTTTGTGAGTTTTCACACAGATTTTTGTGGTTGGTCTATTTTGTAATGATGCTTCATTTTTGAAGAAATGCTAAATAATCGCTTGAATTACATTGCAGGGTGGCAATATTTTGGGAGTCACAGTCATATATTGAACACCAGTTTTCTGTAACCATGTTCTTTGACCTCTGTCAAATCTGGTTGGAATGGGTTGTATAGTTCAAAAAGTTTAAGGTGAGAGTGGTATTACATAGAGACACTGAATTAAAAATAGATTCAAATCTGTGCAGTGCACATTATGTCCTATTGTCAGTCTCAACAGGAAGTAGAAGAGCACTCAGAGTGGTTCTGTATTTGATGTTACCATTCTGGAACAGGACACTGCAGAACGTGTGACTGCCACTGATCTATCTGAGGAGTGATTTCAGTATAAAATTATACTGCCTTTACTTTTATGCCACATCCTTACCACCAAGAATTATTTTGGCTTATTTGTAAATTAATGGCTTATATGTAAATTGTTTTCCACTGAGATTACTTTTTCAGCTACTCACTATACTTCACAGTGCTTTTAAAAGAAAAAACAATAGAGAGAAGTTGCCAGTAACCTTGGTTTTATTTAGGAGCACATAAAAAAATTTATGCTGCAGTTTTGGTTGATTGGAATGATATACTTAAATTTTTAGGTTTTTTTTTTATACAGTAAACAAGTGTATATTCAGTTGTATGCAAGACCAACATTGCCAGCAACACAATTACACTACAGTAAATGAAATGCTTGAAGAATATAGCTGCAAAACCCTTCATATTTTTGGTATTTAACCAGCATTGTTAGAAATAGTCTGCTGAAGCCATTTCATATATGGCAAACACTGAAAAAAGACCCTGTGACAAAGTGTATGTAACTATAGTTGCACTGGCTCTGGAGACAAGTAAGAGCCCTACTTAAACATTTTACTCATAAGCTATGCCTTCTGCAGCTGAAACATGGTAAGAAGTACCTAACTGGTAGTTATGAAGTCCATTCTTACTACTAAGCCACTTGAACTTAAAGAACTAGTCTATATTTTCATACATTTGGGATACTCATAACCCATTAATGTTTCATGCCACAGAAAAAAATTACAATTGCTTAGACTGGATAATTATTCTAAATAACACCACAAAGCCACATTCCACCAATTTAGAAATGCTTCTTACCTCTCTTATAAAATGTTGGGGGTTTTTTTCCCTTTTTTGCTTGTTTGCTTTGTGAGGTTTTTTTCCTGTTTTTTTGGGTGTTCTTTTAATTTGTTTGGTTTTAAGGGGGTGGGCTGTTTTGTTGTTTGTTTATTGGCGGTTTTTTGTTGGTTTGTTTGGATTTTTTGAGGTTTTTGTTTTGAGACCTGCTGTGAACCACCTACATCGGAAGGAGGGAGGTATGAAAATTCCCAGGCCATTATGAATCCTGAGTATTTTGCAACAGTATGCACTAAGTTCTGGTAGTCCACAGTCTCTCTCTGGTGAAAGGATGATAATAAAGCACAAATGGAATATTTACAATTTTTAGAATAAACCTAGTAGCAGACTAGCTGTCGTCATATGTCCTTCTACAAAACCTGCTTTTTAATATCACCTTTTTCTAGAAAGATATGTCAAGAAAAACTGGTTTTTTTAGTCAGCAAAATAAGGTTTTGATAAAAACATATAAAAGACAGTTTTATCTGCTGGATGATATATAGGCACCTGTATACAAGCATGTGTACTGAATAATAAAAGCGAAAGTAGATTTGAATGTTACAGGTCCAGTGTAAACAGAAAAAAACTAGTCAGAAGTGCTGATACATGAACTCACTCCATCATGCTTAATTATTGCAGCATATATGATACAGAGTAATTAAAATGCAGAAAATATCTGCTTATCTCCAAAACAGGGAAAAGAGATCTCTTTGGAAATGTAGTTAAATTTTAAAAAAGTCAAGATGTGTGTTACATTTCAGCACACAGAAGAAATTCACAGGGAGATTATAAACTCCTGAAAATAGAAGTTTATGATGACAACAGACAGTGCTATCATTACAGTGACATCAACAGAGCCACAGTAACACATATGATATTTTTTGAACAGGTGTACAGTAGGTATTTGAAGACACAGAAAAGGTTCATGTGCAGCTTTTCCATTAAAAGGTGTGCAGTTCATCAAACTGGTAAGTATATTTCCTGAAATGTTTTCGAAAATGAGGAAAACACTTGACCTAAATATGGTGTACACTAGTTAACCATGTATAAAGATTCTTAAGTGCACTATGAATTGCAGATGCAGACATGAATGGTTTTTGACAGTTCAGTAATTTGCTAGAATGCACACTAAAGAACCATTTAAGAAGATGTTTCCAGTTTTGTCTGATCATTTTTTCTCAGGAGTTTCACCACAAAGTTCTGCACCTGGTGAGGCCTCTTCAAGAGATGATTTAATATTAGATACATTTACAGGACATCCAAGGGTAGCTGTATAGATAGAGAGAAAAGAAACATTACGTTTGTCTTAATAGCCATATATCCATACTAAAAAGCATCTAAGGCAAGAAAAATGCATGTTATCTAGCACAGAAACAAATAAGCTACACTATCAAATGGTGTATGAAATCCAAGTGAAATCTGGTGTCTAAACAGCACAAACATCCAAAAGCAGACAGTGCAGCTGGCCAACAGTTCAGACTGAACATACTAATGACTGAATGCATCACCATGTTATTGGTAGCTTTAGTCAGAACAGAGTCACAGAGCTCTACATTAAGTTTCAGAAAACAGCTTAGAAATTCAGCCATTTAAGTAAATGAATTTACTTTGTCTTACTTGAAGATAGCTGTCATACATCAGAGCAAAAGCTCATGAACTTCAGGCCATAGAAAATGAAACAATTCAGAGAACTGGAGAAAGTAACTATTAACACCATTTTACTGTTAAAGCTATTTATGCAATGCTACTGAGTTCTCACTGACCCACAAAATTTTTCTACTTAGGCAGGGAATGTTAAGAAACAGCTGCCTTACTGAGTCATGTAATATGTAAGGAAGAATTATAGTGCTGAAAATAATCAAGTTAGTCATTCTGCCTTTGACAGAATTTACTTACATAGGGTTAGTTTCTCTACTGCTAGCCTTTCAGGCAAAGTTTCAAGTGGAGTTGGTTGAATTTTTGCAGGGGTAAATGTATTTAAAGAAATTTTTCTTCCTGAAAGGGGCATCATGTAAATTGGAGAAGCTGAAATTGTGGGGAAAAAAACCATTAACAATAAAAATATTCTCATCTAAACCAGATGTCAAAAACTGTAGCCACAGGACTGTGTATCCATGCAGCAAAAGAGATACCACATTTATACAACCAGCTGCTCAGCTACCAATTTTTGACTCTAGTGTTAAAACTTCACAACATAAAAGACAAGTCTTAATTTTTTTTTTTAACCACAGAAAGCAACACAGTAAGTTCATGCTGTTACAGCAGAATTTCAGTAACAGGTGCCTTGCCAGAAGATTAGCAAAAGCTTTAGTGTTATTTCTCATAGGTTATGAAGATTGCACCTGAATAGGCTTTAAGTCCAACATATCTATGAAAAGTGTACACAATGCACTATTTCCAGACAACCTCCAAATGGTACAGAAAACCAGGAGAACTAAATATCTATGACTTTAATTGTATCGGGTCTATTTTCCAACCACTCCTTGGCAGAAAGGTGACAATCATATGCTAGGAGTGTGACACGTTTTGTTTTTCTGTATTTCTTCATCTTGTATACTCTGAATTCTGAACTGATGTTGATGACACACAAAATTCCTAACCAGTATAAAAAGACATTTTTTAAGTAACTGAGAATTTTCATATACTCGTAAGCCTCTCTGAGCTCATTCTCAGTAATATAAATTTTCTTAAATCAATTATATTCTCTCGCTAATATAGGAGGCATGCCCTATCAAATAAGCTGTTGATTAAAATGTAAACTGTATAAAATAATGGGGGGGAAAAAGGAAAAATCATGTAGCAGAAAAAAGGGACAAGTCCAAACAGGTTGTATCCAGGTCCATACTGTTGTATCAGAACTGGCAAGTACAAGTTTCCTGATCAAAGCATGAGTCTTTAGACACTTCCTTAGGAAAAATGGTTTTCAATCACCTGACACATTTATTTATAAGCATCCTATTATGTGGTAAATCTGACCTAATTGAAACCATTTCCAAAGACACAGCAGTAGAATCACAATGGGAAATCACTTCCCCAGACACATGCACCTGGATAGAATTCAGCAGTATTTCCATTCAAGATCACCTGAACTTTAGATGTGCAGCACAAACTGTTAAAAAACTAAGTAACTGCAAAGCACTCTACAGGTGAAACCCTAGGTAATACTAAAAGAAACAGGAAATACAAAGTTTTAAGTATAAATGTAAGACTGTTCTGCTGATGTTACTGCCAGTACAACAGTATAAAGCTGGGAATACTGCATGCTCCCTGAAAAGCATTACCTGTAATTCAGCTGAGTGTGGACAGTACAGAGAAGTCAATGTAATAATAAAGGAAGTAAACTAACTATGATTCCATTAAATCCTTAATTTACTACCTCAGCCAATGCAGACATTACTTCAGTGAATTATACATGTCCATACCCACAGAAGGATAGTGCAAAATGTAAAATTATCATTTACGTATGTTTTCATTTTCTTCAAAAGCAGTATCCTTTGTTTACTTGTTAGCTGCAAAGCACTGCAAAGATTAACTATACAATAGTTAAGAATTTAAAATTAACATTATTACAAACTATAGTCAGTACATGTCTCCTGTAGATTCTCCCTTGATGGAGCAGCAACAGAAGCAAGAAATTCATCCACCTGCTTCAGAGACAAGGAATTGTGTAGAGTTTCCAAAGGGCAAATAGAAGGCACCATGGAATACAGTTCAAAACCTAAAAGAAAAAAATAATAAAAAAAGAGATTTCCAAACATAAGACAGGATTTAAGCTACTGCATTCATGCATGATTAGAAGTGCTTAGTTTACATTAGCACACTCAGGCATAAGTCTCTTGAAATCATGGAAATTAAATATTACAGGAGTTGGAACAAGATTAGCCAATTTCCAGCTAAACATACTGTGAAACATACCATGGGATACAACTTCCCTGTACACATGAAGTATATGTGTGCACATAAATTATTCAAACATGAGAACTATCTTCTCCTCCCAAATCAGTTAATGAAAAATAATTTTCCTTTAAGACAAATTTAGCAGATAACTGAAATAAAAAAAAGGTCAGGAAAAGGTAGTATTTTTTCTACTCATTTTGATACCTGGCACAAGACTAAATAGTAACTTATTCATGCAAGAAAGTATACTATTTTGTTAGCAGACAAGAGCTAAAAATGCTGTATCTTCCAAGAAATAAATTTGCAGAAATCATGTTCTATCATCTTCAGTATTCTGTGAAAACAAACTGTTGCCTTTAATATCAAAGGAAAGCCACTGTTAGCATTTTTATACCTTAAGGTTACATGGTTTTACTTTTTGAGACAGATATACACCTACCTTTATGCATTTAAAAACAGTATTGAAAAACTAGAAGTTTCATATTAGAACAGGTAAGTAAAGCAACCCAAGAATCTAAAGATTTATTGGACTTTGCTTTTCTATGTTAGTATTGATCATACACTAACCATGCATATCCACATTACTAACAGACTAAAAAGCATTTAAACATCTTAGCTAAAAAAAGATTTTCAGTCCTCTAAAGTGATTCAGGTTTGGTAACTCAGTAAACGGCTTTTCATCCAGTTGCATTTCAGAAGAGGAAAACATGTCCATTAGTGTTTTCAACATACAGCTGTAACATTATAACTCTGCAATTCAATACTGTAAATTTCTTCTAAGACAATTAAATGAAGAAGCAATAGTGAATGCAATAATGTTTAGAATTTCAGTTCAAGGTACATTTATTAGAAGCAACATTATGACTGTGAACTGTTATTTCCCATAAAATAATATGAAACAATGTTCCTGTGATATCCAATGTTGCCCATTCACTCCCCATTAGTACTTAGCATAAAGAAGAAATTCAACAAGATTTCAACCCCCAAATGTCTATGCTTATATTTAGATCCACCTTAGTCATATTCAAATTGTGGGGACCATTGCTACCAATATTCAAAGCAACTGAGGTGTACTTATGTCATCTTCACTTAAATTAAAAACAAATTGTTTATAAACTTATATACAAAATTATAAACAAATTGTTGCACTTCATGAAGACTTGGGTTTTGTGTACAAAAAAGCCACCACCATACTATATAATTTCTATTCTTCTATGAAGTCAGTAGCTAACCTTCAGTGTTAGCACTAAGATGCTTGCCATACATATTAATATCCTAAATAACTATATCCATGCATGTCAAGCGCAAACCCTTTTGTTGCCTTACAGTAAAATCTAAGATTTCTCTTTACCCTGACAGAAGAGTCACTATCACTTGAATGAAAATTTATTTTTCTGATTTTGCAATTAATGAAGTGGGACAAAGTCAGGTTAACTTTTTAGTTACTATTATTGTAATAGTGCATGTCATAGAGAAACAGAAAGGAATTCCAAAATGCACTCGTGCCCTTTAAAAGAAAAAAGAGAAGAAATAAAATTTTCTTGTTCCCCTCCAAATTTTTTGTTTTCTGCTGTCAATCGGAATTGTCATATCCCAGCAGATTGTAGTATCTTTATGTCTAAGGGATATGGCTTAAAACATAATCTGGAAATCTATGTCTGGTGTTTTACTTAAATGTTTTCTGATAAGTATTCTGTGATGTTATAAGGAATAAATTTGAAATTTTATGATGAAGAAGCCCAACAGTATCCCTTTAAGAAGGCAATTTCCTGTACACTAACAGCCTTTGATTTTTGCCTGTATAAAGCATCAAAACGCAAGACAATGAAAGGGTTAACGCAGCATCTCAAAAAGCCACCCTGCTTCTTAAGATTCAAAAGCTGTAGAGACATACCACTGGAGCCTAGAAATTCCACAGAGGAAATGGACCAGCACCTAAAGAGGTGTAGGTGTTCTGCAGGGGCCCAGAAAATAAGGTATAGCACTTTCAGAAGATACTTGTTTCACCATGTTCCTTGAACTAAAGATGGGAGGGGGGGGAAGTCTGAAATGAGTTAAGAGGGTGTGATAACAACATAGAAGTATGAAAAAAACAGAGTGAAAGGGACAAGGATAATTAAAATCATAGTCCAGAGGACAGACAAAACAACATCAATATGGCATTATGTTAGTAGAGAAGCCCTGGAAACTTACTATTTACTTAGGGTTCGTAGGAGCTCATACTGCATGCATTGATCTTGTCAAAGATGTGTGGTAAGACTGCTGCATTAAGTGAATCTGTACAATCAATGTCATCAATAAAAGCTATTTAGATTTTTTTAGTGAATGGACTCACAAAAAGTGACTAAATGGAACAGAAAGTAATCCTGTTATTAGCCACAGATTCTCAAATGCAGTTCTTACTTTCTGACCTTGTATGTTTTGGGAATATTGTTTGGTTTTGAGTTGTAACACAAAAAATGGATTCCTGACTTTTCTACTTGAGATAGGACATTAGATTTGGCCTTTTAGATCAAACGCAGTCTTAATAGTATAAATTTAGCCTTACTATAGTTTTCCTTCAAGAAGCACTGCAGTGCAAAAAAGTCACTATGGATTTAATATGAATATAACAAAATACTACTCTGCTTCTAAACAAAGCTAAACAAAAACTCAAGTTTTCTTTTTTAAAAACTTTCTTTCTAAGAAAATGTATTTTGAATCTAACATGAAAATACTGATGATTTCCACTGCATTTTCAATATTACTATCACTGAATTCAGACAGTAGTCATGCACATTTTTAAAACTGCAGTTAAGAAATCTGGAGAAGTCCAGTGGGTCCTGAAGACTGAGTCTACTTTTCATTAACAGGATATATCTGGGGCCTATTCAATCATGTAGAAAGGGAGGCACAAAATATTTTGCTGAGGAAGAAAAAGACATACCTCTGTCCTGTGTGTTAAACGAGAATTTTTGCAAACTGAAGACAGCTCTCACTCTTGAAGCTCAAGAGGTCAGTGCTGCTCAAGAAGTCACAGCTCTCTTGCTGTGATTTTTAGTGCAATATTTAAGTAATTTGCACATCTGATGAACAGAGAAGTATGATAAGGTAAAATAAATTTTTGTCCCATAAAAAATGTAGCAATTTAGCAGGAATAGAACCAAAGCTTCTGCTTTTGGTTTTGTAATTTAGCATCACTTCAAGAAGATAGTCATAAACTCCAGCTGTCAAGGGTTTATTTTAGAATGGGCAGGCTCAGAGAATCAGTTCAGCAGAAGAAAGACAAAGAAGAAGCAGCAGCTATCAAGAAGTGTACGTCTAATAAGATCAGATTTCAGTGTCTGTATCTTGTACCATAGAGTCTGATCACACAAGAACTTCTGAAGAATAATTTATTAGAGAGATCATGATTAACAGTAGCACTTAATTTTTTTTTTTCACAAGTTTTTCTAAGTAATGAATTTTGATGTTGTATTTATACTAATGAATGGTAAAGAAAGGTTTTAGGATATCTAATGATTACAAATATATTTGGACTTGTGCTTGAAGTTAGAAACAACAGACGGCTGGATGATACTGTACACCCGTATTTGAAATAAAAATAAAAGGGATGAAGCAAGGAACCTTTTGTTTTCTATTTTGTTTTTAAAATAAAAGCAAAACGTACCATTGGTTGGGTGTCGAGCAAATGAGATAGAAAACCTTTTAACAGCAGAACCGCGTGTGGTGTCTGAGAAAGAGAAAAACAGGTACCTGAAATTTGTAACAGCTACCAAAAGAGGGAGATTTTAAAAAAGAAAAGTAAGAAGAAAGGAAAAAAGAAAAGATGAGAAGTGAGTGGCATGCAGAAGGAACCAAGGAAAAGGGCTAAAATCTAAACAGATGTTAAAAAGAAGAAAATTTGGATTGTTGGTAACTAGATGTGTAATGAAGTGTATGAAAACAAGCAGAATGAGCTGGCAATTCTGGCATACAAGGTTATTCAGGTTAGACTCGAACACTGAGAAGTGAAGTGCGGGGGAAATCAGCATGAATACTGTTTCACCTTGGAGTTATAAAGGTGTGCTTTGGTATCTTTACATTCTGAAATCTAGTGAGAGAGTTTCTTCTCTATGCCAGATTATCCAAAACTGAGAATCTCCTGCTCCTCTGTCATCCAAACCCCACCAAAAAAAGGTCAGGAATCCTAAAATTTTCACCATCAGTATTTAACTTATTGCTTTATAATTTCATTCCTTGTATATGCTCCAAATACTTTATTTAATTTCAAGATCAATTAGCAGTGATAAAAAACAGGGTTTAAAATTATTAAAGAATTTTAAAAAAACTTTTCATTTATTAAAAAATGTACTTGCTGGAATCTTGTGACGCACATTACAAGTCTGTGATCTGGTGTTCAAGACAAACAAGAATTAACTATGCTATTAAGTTAAACATACGCAAGATATGGGCAATAAAAAAGCAACAGAAACTCATAAAATTAATACTAAGGCTAAAGATTCTAGGATTCCATTAAAATCTTTAGAAGTTCAATGTGGCACATGGGTTGTGCGTGCATGTGCGAGAGTGTGCACATACCATCTATGAAGCCAGAAGAAGTCAGCTTTTTACGATGCGTACGAGCATAATCCTGTAGGTTAGGTGCACTTGAAGAACCCCCGAGCACTGAGGTGCTAAACAGGCCCGCACAGTGAGACCCTGATGGGAGTTAGAGAAAATACATACAACAACCAGGTGTTCGTCCATTCACATTGGGGATGCATGCAGCATGCAAGCAAATGGCTCTTACCACACAAAAGGCAGCTTTTGGCAGTGCCTTGGACAGGTTCACAATATGCTTGTAATGTCAAGAGTGCGACTTGTAGGCTGAAACTATCATAATTTATTGTGCTTCTACTCATGAAACAGCACAATCTGCTATATGTGCAAAGAGAGGACTCACTTTAACAAAGTGAGTTCTTGTCCTGTTTTCACTTTTGGTAAAAAAAAAGTTACCAGTTAGCATCAGTGGAAACATAAACAAAACAACAAAACCAAATGAAGATGATGATGATGACGATGATAATGATTATTGATGATGATGATGATGCCTGAAACAAATATAAACTGGAAAAATACTGTTGATTGCTATCATCCAAATCAACCTTTGAGATGACAGGCTGCTATGAAGTACTCATGCAGTTCCACAGACTTAGTATGTGGAAATACTTCTAACCCCAACAAAATCTAAACCAAATTGGAAATACTGTATTTGGAATTCACCTACCATTACTGATATTGTTATAAACTGAAAACACTTCTAAGTTTCATCAAGTTTAACTTGACTTCCTTTCATGAGAAGACTTTTGCACGGCTCCATGCAAGAGACAGTATGTTGTTACAACTCATGCATTCCTGTCACTAGAATGGAAGTTCAGACAAATCACTGAAAGCCACAGACAAAAATATAAAAATAACTTTTGTAATTGTCAAGTATTAATGGAATTTACATACAACAATGAACAAAATGGGAAAAAAGTTGTATTTTTCTTCTTTACATTTTATTACTAGTTGAAAGGAGAAAGAATTTTCACTTAGAACTTATCTTTTACATTTTAGATAAGTAGCAGCAGATATTTTTTTTTAAACCAGCAATACTTCCTTTAATTACTCATAATAGTCCAGTGAGGGGAAACATTACTAGCACATGTGACCAATCACAGCCAAAATAAATTGATGCCTGATCTGTGGCAAAAGCCTTTCACACCAAATATAATACCTTAATCTACATGGATTAACTTCCACAAGCCATATTGTGACACACAAAAGAATACTCATTTAACTTTAGCAAGCATGGAATAAAGACCAGGACTTCAGTAACCAGGAGCACCTGATGTATGTATTTTACTATGGGAAAAATATAATGGGAAGAAAAGTATCACAGAAAGATTAGACATACAAAAAACACATATGTTTGCAAATAAAGGAAAAGCTACTTCTAAGTTTATGCATATAGGTGATGCATTTTTTAATACTTAATGTTTCCCATGAAAAGACACATAGAAAAAAAAGCAATATTGATTTATAGTAGTGCATGATTTCATTTTTTTGCGAGTCATATGTATGCCTGTTTTAATAAAGCAATAGAAAAGCATCACTTGAATTAACAGAATTTGAAATAAGCCTTTGAATTATAGCATGATTCATTCTAATGCTGAAAAGAAGAAATTAATTTTAGGAGAGGAATATCTGCAAAACCCCTGATACTATCAAGGAACTTTATGTTTGTTCCCCATCCCCCTCCCCTCAGAAAAACATCTTCACTTTCATCAATCGCCTACAGTAGGAAACAGACATTTTCAAGACAAGTGTTTTAACTGTTTCCAGAGCAGGCCACTTTAATGCAAAATACTCTGGAAAAATCCAAAAGCTCAGTCAGAAACTACAGTATCTTAAAAATCTGCTTTATGTTAAAAACAATCCTGTGTACCTGTTGTAAGAAGTACAAAATCGGTAGTACAAGGAGTCTTAAACACTTTTTTCAGTTTTAACTTAAGTTAAAAATTTTGCTGCAAAAAAATTGTCCAGTCCATAGGCAGACACTTGGCGTATGTTACTGGTAACAAGTACTATTTGGTCCTGTTAACAAAAATGCTATTCAAAGAATATACAAATATAGAGAAGAGCAGGCAGATGAAAAGCTGAAAACATCAAACAAAATTTCAACTGTAGGCACATACCTAGCCCACTCTGCTTTTGTTCCAGCATAGTTCTTGGTGTTCGTAAGTTACTATTGCTTTCTGATAGGACCTGGATATAAGAAAAAGAAAAATAAGGAAAAGTAGAACAGCAGCATGGAACATCCATTTAACTTGATACAGCAGCCTGTTTCAGACAAACAGGTGTTAATAAGCTGTATGATAAGTGTTAGTAAAAATATGTAAAGGAAACATGAGAGATCATGCAATATCCCCTTCCGAAGGGAGTCCATTTCACATATGAGTTCCTTGCAATGAAGCAGTGCGAAGCAAGCATTCAGAATGAGAAAGGACACAGACCAAGACTGATATGAGAACAGAAATTTGAGACATTTTATTTCATTTTACCAAATGCACTTTCCTAAACTGCGCCTGTATTGAAAAAAGGAGGGGAGGAAAGGAAAGACAGACAAGCTATTGAGGATACCATACAATCACTGACCATGCACAGGCTCAATCAGTACAATCTTCAGATGCTCACAGCCTTTGCTGATATAATTTTTTCCAATGTAAATAATTTTAGAATTTTCTACAATAAATTATAAAAATTTTCAAAGAAAAAGAATATGGTTACAGAACACCATCCATCGTCTTACATGTAAACAATATCTTGATATTCTGAATAGTTTTAGATCTTCACTGGTACTTCCAAAATATTTACTGCTTCTTTTTTACCCTGCTTTCTCCTCACCCCCCCCATTACAAGGAACAGTTCAAAATATTGTACAAGTCAATGGATGATGTACTGTCTTAGGAGTTTCAGATACCTCCGGATATAGATGGCAAGAATTATTAGTGCTGGAGTTTTTTCCCTGCAGTAGTTAATACCAGGCCACTGAAAATACGATATATGCAAAACAAGTTTTGAATAGCAACATGAAGTACCAAATAAATTATTTTAAATGGTATTGGTTGCAATTTTTTTTTTTTTTTTTTAATTTACCTACCACCAAATTAAGCAATGCTGGTTTTAAAGTCTTAAAGGACAACTAAACCAAAGCGTAATTCTCTTTCATTAGGCAGTACACAAAGTCTTTTTTACTGTAGTAACATTTGCAATTCCTATAAAGAAATCAAATGTTTATGAAAGCGTGTAACACATTCAGTGGAAAAACATGCACTTTTTCCCCCAAACATTCTTGGCAAGTAATTTTAAGAAGTGGAAGGTATTACTTGAAACATAATCCATAACAAGGGATTAGATGTCCTTAAAGACAGTTGTTGCTTGGAATGCATAAAATGTTTAATGAAGTAAAGTTTAAAAACCTGTTGCCATGAGCCAAAAATACTGGATGTGAAAGCCAGTGATTTAGGGGAGACAGGGGAAGAAGTGATTTGTTCCCCTGATCTGCGTCTTCGACGCCCAGTACCCACACCACTGGTGTAATGCAGCCAGGTACCAATACACTCTGGGCTAGACACACTCAGGGGGCTCTCTTCCTGGAAGTGAGAAAGGGGGCAAAAAACAGCAAAGCATGCAAAGTTAGATTCAACAGAGCCAAATGAACAGAAAAGAAATAAACCCGATCTCCTTGCACCCTTTTACATACTACTTCAAAACTATTAAACAGCGAAGAGAGAAGAATAATAGTACAATACTAGAAAGCTATCAGTTTCACTTTTATCTCTTCATCCAACTATATATTTTACTACAACACTTTAATCAAATTTCTAGTAGACTAGTATTAGATATGAGAGAAAACATTTGTTATCAATAATTGATTCATAATTTTAAGAATTTTTCACATGTTGGAAACAAAACTTCTGTTACCCTTGAAATACTGTTTAATAGTTTTTCCCCTCCTAAGTACAATAAACTTTCCTATTTATTATGTGGGACACCTTATCAGGACTTCAAGGGAGGATAGAGGATAACCATCCCCCTATGTGGTTACTACATCTACATCATTGTGTATCATTAGCAATTAATATTCTTTGAAATTCAGAGTTTGCTTTCCAATGTCAATGAGCTTTACATTGTTCTTTTACGACTATAACTCAGCTTTTTTTTACTTTTCATGACTCATCACAGTTGCCTTCCTTTCTGTAGATATTGCTGACTATAACCCAGATTAAAACTTCCATATAATCTCACACCTGAAAGTGTCCTTTCAAATTAATGTACATAGGTGAAAACAGAATTGCCTTACAGGAGGAAAAAAAAAAAAAAGGGAAAAAAAAAAAGGGAAAAAAAGGAAATAAATAGAAAAAAAAAGTTCAAGGCAGTTGCAGTTTAAGTTGCAGTGACTTTGTAAAATTGGTCCAAAATACCGTTTAGTTTAAGTATTCCAAATACTAGTTTTGGAGATTTCAATAGGCCAGATGAAACTTCCTATTTTACTTATAAGAAAAAAAATGTTTTATGTATGTCTCCTCTAAATTGGCTATTTCCTTCCAGCAAATAAGCAAGCTCTGAATGCTGACACACATTCAATTGTAACATATAATATCTGCACAGTCAAAACTTGGCAATTTGTGCTTCTGATATCTTATGAAAATTAACTCCCATATAATTTATGAAAATGGTTGAAAGTCTGAAGTAATAGACTATTAAGCTGTGTATAAGTGAACTCATAGCCAGGAGGGGAGTTTGCATGATCATCACAAAAGCAGCTTTTAAAAATCAAAAATATTGATGTTGTGAGCATTTGTTTATGAAAAAACTTGGAAATAGAAAATGTAAGACATTAACATTTATTATGTCTGTTAATTTATGGAAGTCATGTGAAGTTATACAGATATCCCTACAGAAGGGAATCATGCATCTTTTTCTCTCCATACTGCCAGTAACCAAGTAATTTCCAAATCTGTAATACTTTTATGGCATACAGACAACTCATTCCCAACGCAAACATGAAAGAAAAAGCTTTTGGTGTGAATCTTTACTTCTGATGGTTTTAAGCAACTGAAAAATGAGGCATTAAGAAGCTGTTAGTCTGCTTCTAGCATTAATATCACAGAAGTGCCAGTATGCACCATCTGAATTTTCACTCAACCATCCCAATGGTATCAATGAAAGAGCTGTGCATCTCCCCACCTCTGTGACATTAAGCCGTATCTGTTAAGCACACCTGTATGTCATGCTTTCAAGACAGCAAACTAGATTACTCAAGATGTTGCCTACAGAATTCATGAAACACAGACCCCAGCCACTTAATAAAACAAGCTTCCACTTTATCTTTCTTACCTTCAAAAGCTTGACAAATTGAGTCACTTTCACTCCACAAGAAAGCAAATACAGCAGAAGATATCTCACCTCTTGCACCTCCCCTACCACCCTAATCCCTGTGATCCCTTTTCAGCAAAACCACCCTGAAAGTTTGCTCAATTCCCAGTAGTAGCTGTCTTATAAGGATGAATAGAAAAGCAATGTATGTTAGTTTGTAGAGGTAGGTTTAGATTGAAAGTCTTCATTTTCAAATATCAACTTTTCTAAAATGGCTTTAAAAAAAAAATAAGTCTTGTCACAAAATATTTATTTTAAAAAATATCCCTTCAGAGAAATTGTTGCCATGGAGGATTTCCCACCGAGGAAGGCCAAACCTTCTGTGAGATGTATCATGCTGGTTCTGTGTAATCAAAAGCAGAATTACGTTTGGTTTTGTTTTCTTAAAAGCAAGCAAAAGTTAATGTTTTTGACAGAAATTATCTGGAACACCAGCACTTACTTCAACAGAACCAATCTTCCTGGATCTTGGAAGGGGTGACTTTCTGTGTATATGAATTGGGTCTGATACCATTGGCTTGAACATCACTACTGATCGATCTGTTTCATCTCTTTTAGGAGCATGTACCTCCTCATCACTATCATTTCTATGAGAAGTCTTCTTCGAGCCTGCATTCTACAGAAAATACATAATTCACTTTCAATTTTTCTACACACCTTCAAACAGACAGGCTCTTAAATAAATATTCTGCATAAAGATGAAACAAGCTGATTTTAAAAATACAAGATGTCACATTACTAAAAAAACTGCTCTAGATTTTAATAATCTGTATAATAATCTGTTTCTTCTTTATTTTTCTATTTAGAAGAATTCCAGACAAGCTTTGCTCTCATTCCTTTCTCAAAAAGCAGTCATAACTCCATGTACCTGACCATGTACCTTGGAAAACATCAATCTTTTCTCAATACTCTGCACGCCAAACTACTTAAATATGTCTTCCATTTCCCAGAATATTATTCATGTGACACTCTGATTCTGCTATCACTTTTCTTAGAGTATTTGTATTTCTAGTAAAAATTCTGGGAAAGCTTTAGAACATCCAAATTATCTCTGTCTTTCACCTCAGCGCCCATTCAAAGTAGAAAATATTTGGATTGCTTATCTTTTACTGCACATTTTTCTATCAAAAAAAAAAAAAAATCATCACACTTGTATTTTTTACATAACAATTTTCCAGTGTTTATTTTAGGTATGTCCATATCCAAAAAACCTAAATTTTGCTTTATAGAAAGACGTAACTATTACCTCTCTGGAGGCAGGTCTGTATCCATATCCAGACGGTAAATTTTTATCTTCCTCACAGCCTTTAGCTCCTGGACTGAAATGCAGCTCTACATGAAAACGTTCTTCCGAAGAAAGTTCCTGAAGTAAAATAATTAAATAGATTTATATTTTAGCACATAGCTCAGCTTTATTCATATCTGAAGTATTTATCCATTTTAAATACCTTATTTGGATCCTCATAAAGCATGATAACAATTTGTGTCATGTAATTGAGTTCATTAACCACATTTAAGTAATCCATAGCTCGTTTCCACTGTTCATCTTTTGATTCCTTATGGAGAAAAAAAAAATATCAACAAGTAAAATTCAGCTACTTTCTTTAAGAAGACTGATGATCTCACTTTTCCTCCACTTACATAAATTTTCATAGCAGAAGTGCAAAGCTCATCATAGCTAAGGAAAATGCAGAGGTACAACAAAAAAAAAAAACCAACTATGAACCTCCATGAGTGACTTAAAATTGCTCATCAAACAACTGAAAAGTGAAGAGCAGAACTTTTCATATGTTATTTCTATGAGTCTTTCATGTTTTTTCGCCAATGATGATACATAGACAGAGGCACTGTTTTCAACTCTCCTGATGAGAACTGCTAATTTTACAACAAATTCATTTCAGCTAGCATATTGTGAAAAATGTTTTTATATATCACACTAACAGAGATACCAGTCAAAGAGTTAGTAAGCAAAGCTTTCTAGTATATAAAGGAGGTACAACTGTCACATTCCAAACTACTTAAATGAATAGTCACCTTTTTCATGCTGTAGGAAAAAAAAACATATAGTAATCCACCATAAAGAAAAATTAGAAGCTTATTAAACTTATTATTATTAAAAGACTTAAACTTGGAGTGTACCTGTTATAGCATGTCACAGAAGTTTATAAATGCTTTTGCCATCACTGAGTTTAGTCATACATTACCAGAAGCAAGTATGCCAGTATGACAATTTGAAAAGTAGAGTATAAGTCAAGCTGTATCTTACAAGCAGATAGGTTTGTGGTGCTGTATATATCTCCTCCAAGAGCTCAGTTTAAGCAATTTCTGAATCAGGAGACCTTGTCTTTTTCAGTGTCAAAGACTTATCAGATGGAGAATAATGCACCACCTTTGTAATATTCTTTAACAGTATAGGATAGTAAGAAAATTTGCTGTACAGGAGGAGCTTTCAGCAGTCTTGAAATTAGGTAGGGGTGTCTTGACAATATGTCAATGGTCAAAAATAGTAAGCCAGTGCAAAAGCAAATTCAAGAGAACCCTGAATCATAACTTAGGAATAAAAGTTGGAAGAATTACTGGTGACAACAGAAGACAAAAAAAAATTATCTGGCTTTTCCACATCTATTTTTGATTCTAACGCATACAGCCAATGGAACACAGCATTACTTTGATGGAATCAAAACATACCAATAAATGTGCAATTTGCAATATGTTTCTGCATAAGCAATAGAATATCAAATGTTTGAAAAAATGTGATACATTTCAGAGATACTTAAGGTTTCAACTGATACAGTCAGAAGAATATTCAGATTCCTCTCTAAATATCAGGGCTTCAACAGAGAAACTTACATCGCATAAGGCACCATAACGAAGGGTGGATAACAGGGAGTGGACATGACTCTCACTGGTGAAATACAGTCGGGTACGAACATGGCGTTCTGGGGACATAACACCCCTGGAGTAGCTTAAAAAAAGAAAAAATGTTATTAGATAATGTTATTAGACTATGATAAGATGTGTCCTTATTTTCAAAATAGCTGTAAATAAATAAATAAATAAATCAGTCTTCCTAATTTCTATGAGCTAAAAAGATACTTCAAATATGGAAGCTATAGACTATGTCCAATTTTCATGGGAATTAATGTAACCATGTAAAAAAGTAAATGGCTTACAGAGGATGAAGCTTATTTACAGTGTCATCATCTTGAGTTCTCTGAAGGTCAGAACGAATTTTTCTGACTAGAGGAGTGCAATAACCTTTGGCAATCTCCAGTTTCTCAGCTTTAGAAATCCCATATTCCTGTGTAAAAACGAATTGACTTTTACAATTCAGTTAAAGGTTAAATGCCTTCCAATTCAGAGCTTCTATATTAAAGCAAATTAGCCATCTATTAGTTTACTCTGGCTACAAATAATTTTATTCAAAATTTTTACTACACATGATCATTGATGTAGCTTCAATGAATTTGCAGATTGCCTTTTTGCTGTTTGATTTGATACAGAGAAGTTTTCCCTTCACTAGTTAAACCAAAGAAATGGATTTACCTTCTGGTATGATAAAGCTCTTTTTCTTAAGTAAAACACCTACGGAGTCATTCCTCCTTCTTGTCACCATGCCCATCTCCTATCCTGCCCCCACAATGCTGCTTTTTTGGTTTTTGCTTTTTCCTTTTTTTTAACAAAACTAAACTTTTAACTAAAGAGACATATTTGGTATGTCAGTCTTAGTTTGGGGTAAACCAACCCACAGAAGATCTATTTATGTCAAAAAATAACATAAATAGTATTTATGTACAACTGTGAAATTACTACTGATATTAAATGTATTTAAAAGTATGTTCTTCTAGGAGTTTCATACTCGGTGCTACACAAAGTATGAACGTGCTGTCACAGTTAGAATGAATCTTCTTGTTACCCAAGAGAGGAAGACAAGCACTCTCCCTTTGCATTATGCACGCTGGCAAGTTTTCTTTTTTCTTCTATCTTCAGTATGTGTCCTCATTTTTACCTGCTCTTCTCTAATTTTCTGTTCAAAATTTCAGCTTAACAGACGCACAAAACACAATTCTAACCATCACTACTATTTTTGTCCTCCATGTCGAATTTGAGTGATGGGGAGAGGAAGAATTTCCTTCACATGCTGCACACAATAAATGTATTGTAAAATAAAAAATAAATAAATACCTCCGTTATGAGGCTGTTCTGTAACTGCAGGGACACCTCGAGAATACTTTAGTCTGTTCTGTCCTGTTATCACAAATCAACTTCATGTCCTGCCACTTGCAAGATTTTACAGCTAACCCAAGTCTAACAGCCTGCAGAGCATATAAGTTTAATTTGTCCACTTCTGGCCTGAAATTCTATGAAATTTAATGTCTACATTCACGTCATTGAATGTTAGCATTTTGAAAAAGCAGAAAGGTCTTTTTAAATTAAAATAGTTTAAAATGTGTTAAATTACACAGATTAGGATTAACAGTGTCATTTGCAAGGAGCCTAAAAATGAAATTTCTGTAAGCAGGAGAAATAAAATTAAGCAGTTTCAGAAAACAGAATTATTCACAAAGGCAACAGTTAAATCCAGGATGAATGGTGGAGATGAACCATTTTATTTTAATACACTGGTGTAAAGGAAGGAGACATGTTCACACCTTAAATTTCAAAAAAAATTCACCCTGAACACAGGTTTATTAATTATGAATGACATTTGTCTTAAACAATCCCAGTCAGCTTGCTAGTGAAAAATGAGAGAAAATGTTAAAGGTTTCTATTATTGCAAAATGTGGGAGCTGCAATAGAAAATACAAAGCAGACATTTTCACAAAGATTTAAAAAAGCATTTATTCTACATGTTTTTCTTCTATTTAATAACTGAAAATGCTTACCTGAGGAATCACAATGTCAGCTAAAGCCTTTGAAAGCCTATATAATTCCATTGTGTTTTCTAATTTTAACGATCCATTGTGTTGTACATCATATTTTATACAGTCATAAATATCAGGAATTTTGCTAATATCGTATCTTCCATTTTTTGTTTTGAAGTCTTTTTCCAGCTTGGCCCACCTACGCAACATCAGTTCTAGCGTTTCACTGTGGTACAGCTGAATATCTGGATAGACATGTATCTCTTATAAGTAATTAAGGCCATTCAAGTAACAAAACGACATTTTAATTACATAGAAGTAACGACTGTATTATAGAGGGCTCAAAATAAGTTAACTGCATTACTATTAAGAAGGGACAGCTGGGCATAACATCAATTTTAGTGCTGAAAGCATCACAATTACATAACTCCACTATGATAGTAAAACACACTGCTGCAGAAATGCACCACTGGCCCTTAAACATAAGACATACCTATATAACTTAGCCTTAGTACAGTTAACTCTTCCTGTTTTGTGGAATGCTGAGTTTCAAATCACTAGGATAAGAATTTTTGCAAGCACCGGAATTTCTGAACACCACAAAGCCCTTACCTGCAATATAACCACATGTTCCTTTTCCTTTTTACTTCAAAACTATGCATATGAAATAAAGACTGTGAAAATACTTAATCCGTTATTGGTTGACTCATGTTCTGCTAAAAGTGAGTTTAGTGAAGGAAAGTTATGTTACAGCTCTCTTTCATGTATGTTAACCAGAGAAACTAAATACCAGTACAAAAACATTTCAATACCTGCAGACTTTGGGTCTTCCATTCTCTGCCTGATCTGAGAAGTCAAACTCTGGATCAAGTAATAGACCTTGTCACATGTCTTTACAGGATTTTTAATAATCTGCATTGATTTTATCAGTGAGATGCTTCCAGACGGAGTGAGCTGCAATTTGAGATAAACACAAAATTAACTGAACAGACTAGATTTGAAAGACCTGGTGAGATAAGATGAAACATGTCAAAGATACCAAGTATTGGAGAAAAAGCACTCAAGGAGGTTGCTATGAATATTTTTAATGACTTATCAATTATCTTTTACCTTTGAGGCATTAAGACAATACATCAAAATGCAGTACCATTTGCTAGAGATTCAAAGGTAATAAGAAATTCATAGAGCAACTAATCCTATAAAGTAAATGTGGGTAACTACAGAATTCATAAAACTATTTCTTTTATTCCAAGACACAAAAACTGGGAAGATGTTTAAACCTTTGTATATACTTAGCTTCCACATCTTCCTTTCAAATAAGTTCTGTATTCAAAAGCTTACAAAAGTAAATTCTGTTAGAAATGTTGTCATTAGGCTACATGCCTCACAAATTTTTTTTTGCTCTATAGGAACCAGATTTGCAGTAATAACTGGTATCTTTGTTTGCCTACTCCTGTCTTAGGTTTTTGATTCAACAGGACTGTAGGACAAAAACACAAAAAAGAAGCCTTTAAATGCACATAGATCAAAAACATGTTCTTCAGAACTGAATTCATTATAGAAATGGTAAAAGCTACAAACTATCACCATAAAGGTGAATGTCACTAAAACAATAAAGTAAATGTATATGTGAGGTTTAGCCTAATTTTTTTCAGAAAAGTCAGCAGAGTCCAAAGTGACCAATGATATAAAACAGTAATTTAAACACAAAACACACACTTATTTGCATTTTCCTCAGTTTCCTGAAATGGATGGAGTAATTTGGACGTGGAAAATTTCCACTCTCTTCCTAACAGTAAACAGTTCCTATCTCTGCTTATTATGAATAGGGAGGGAGGCACAGGAATAAACCCCATACAATTTTTCCAAATCACAAGTAAATTAGAAAGCCTTCACAAATAAATGAAGCCCCCAAAAGTTTTTATTGCTTTATAATCCCAAAGGTTAGTAACTTTCAGTGACCAAAGAGTACCCTATTAGTACTAGCTACATTTCAAACCTGATTATATCTATAAAACAAACATCAATAAATCCTTGCATTTTCCAATTACTGTTGAATCTACTATTTTATATATTTAAATGAATCCACATGGAGTATATACCTATTCTTAATTAATTTAATTAATCTCAATACTTTTTTCAAAAATAGCAGTTAAAAACCTCATTTGAGGACTTGTATTTAGTTGCTATATGAGACAGAGTATGAGCAATTGAAAGAGAAAGAAGATTCTTAACTATAGCAAACAATACATGTAAAATCAGGAACAATGATGTGTACTAAGTCAACATAAACTATATTACTGTATGCTAATTTAGCATGTTAATGACACATTCACTTAAAGTTTTCAGTATCTTAGTATTCTAAATAAAAACAAACAGACCTTGCAGCAGATTAATGACTGAAACACCTGCAGCCAGTAGGAAAACATTTTGTTACATCACACACTCACAGTAAAGATCACACAGTAAAGATTATAAAAAATGCAAACAATATAATGTTGTTTCTTGAATAACTAAAATATTTTAATGGAATAGTGAAAAAGGCTTACAAAGGAGATCCCTGTATACTTCTTCAAAGTTTGTTGCTATTCTGATTACCCAAATCACAAAACAATATATCTACAGCTATAATTGGTATAGCCACCTTTGCAGTTCAAACTATTTGCAAGCACACAAAAAAATTTGCAAAACAGATACATAAAATCACTGATCAGTACTTTTGCACAGACATCTTCATAATTATTTCATGGGAAACTAATCATATGCTAACCTTATCATAGTCATCAGCAGTAAATTCTCTGTCTCTCTGGAGAATTTCATGAAGCCTTGCTTTAACACGATGTTGACAGCTGCTTAAAGAATCACTGTCACTGTCCAACAGACCATTCATATTGGCACTTTTTACCATCTGGACAAGAATAGGAGTCAGCTCTCCCTCTAAGGCCAGTAGTCCCTGAAGCAAACAATACAATTATTCAGACAAATAAATGAAGATTAAAAAAAAGAGTATCTTAAAAGAATGTCCAAAACATTAATTAAAATTCAAGATGGTATCACTCGGCTATAGGTTAGATAAACAGGGGCACAATGCATGTAATTACAGAGAAATGGCTCCCTAAACACTACTGGTGTGCTGGATTGATACAGATGATGCAACAGAAATGGTGACATGCCACAGAAAATGGTCTCCAACACCAGCTGTTCAGGTCTTGGAGAGTGGGGAGTGCAGGTGCCTTCTCCCCAAGGCTGGAAGCAACAGCTGCCTGACTTGTGGGTGACATGCTGTGCTCAAGGACTTGCCTGACCAGAGAGGAGCTATGGGAAGAATTGGGAAACTCTTAGAGCTTAGGTAGGATCTAGCAGGATAAACAGCGGATAGGTAGGGTCTTACAGGGACTCTACAGAGGCAAAAGCCCAAGCCATGTGTGTCACAAGACAATCAAAGGCCTTGAACAACAGGAGAATGGAGAATTCCAAAATGAAGAAGGCTGAAAACTTTTGTAACTTTTCTGGCAATGGAAGGGCTCCAGAATAAAGAAGGAAATGGTGTGGTGTCTCTTCAAGCCTGCTGGCCAAGGGAAAGCAGCTCAGATGGATGAAATATTTCTGCAAAAGCACGTGCAGCATTGAAATAAATAGGAGAAACAGAAAGTCAGAACACTTGTAGAGCTTTAAGTTAATTCAAATTACAGATATATGGTAGAATATTTCACACTAATGGATTTTTGCTGTAACTAGACACAGGACCTTTTGGAAGCCAGGTAGGCAGCACAGTATCATGGCAGGCCTCTGCTGGAGACCACCCAATTAAAAGGGGAGACGGATGAAACCCCCTTAACGCAAGTGGAGAAAGCCACATAACTGCAGGCCTTGTTTCCATGGGTGCTCTTGGCCCTGGATAGGCAATATTGCAGGGGACAAGGAATCAAGATTTCTGGAAACACCTAGGACAATCCTTTGACAGATGTTACTGATGAACGGCAGAACACGGGCATTGCCCTAGACCTGTTACTCACAAATGCCACCTGTTACTCACAAATGCCAGGAAAGTAAAGGTAGATAGCAGTCTTGGTAATTGAAATCTGATGTTTTAACAGATCCATGGAGAAGTGAACAAGACAAATACCTGCATTAGAGCCCAGGACTTTTAGTAGGCATACTTTTGCTTATTCACAGAATCTTATGGAGATGAGCCTTGCAGGACAAAAGCCTTAGATGGGGCTGCTTAATTAAAAACTGTCTTTATCTGTTCAAAGAACTTCAAATGTTTGGCACATTATTTGGATACTTTTTCACCCTGAACTACTCTTTGAAAATGCCTTTTTCTAATAAACTGTAAATCTCTCCCACATTTCACAAGAAAAAAACAAACCTGAGAATATCAGAGTTTTAGAACTGAAAATATCATTTCACGTTGTACCTTTGCAAAAGCTGCTGCAGTCATCTGAACTCGTCCCTCATCAGAAGCGTAGATTTTGAGATCATGTCGGTAAGTGCTATGTAACCTAAGTAAACCACATCCAGGAAATCCAGCGTAATCTCCTAGCAAACAAACATGTTGCTCAAACTCTCATCATTATCCTCAAAAGTCATTTATGACACTCAATTGATTCTTTTGAAAATTATTATTATAATTTTCTTTTTACCTTGTCCACCGGGATACATGCACCTGAAAGCTCTTCCAAGCTCCTCTGCTTGCACCCTGCCTGCAGGGGTCAGCTCTCCTCCCCATTTTAGGACCAGAAGCAGGGATGGCTCATTTCTTCTATTATCTAGTTGTACAGAGGGAGAGGAGTTTAGTAGTGAAGTATATTGTTAATTTTTTTTTCCAAATGAACAAAAAAATTTGGTCTATGACAAGCTTCATCAAAAGATCTCTTCAACATTATGAATCTTTAATAGTTTAATTCTAACATTGAGGAAATACTGACCTGTGAACTAAACAGGCACTTTAAACAGAGAAAACTAAGTATTTAATACTAAAAGTATTAAAACTATGAAGAAAATATACAAGAAAACTATTTAGCATGAATCTGAAGCAAAAAGTAAATCAAGACAGAAAAATTAAAACAAATTGGATGCTAAGCACCCTATAGTATGTAAATGTTTTAAAGATGGTAACTGTTGAGTGAGATTATCTTATGCTGGCTCACAACAGTACAACTTCATTATGGTGCATCACTGGAATTCTTTTCATGTTACTCTTCTACTGCAAAAGAGCATGGTTAGTACAGTTTTATGTGCACAATTTAGCCAATTAAAATAATGTGAATATGTGCTAACTATTCAAAAATTCTCTCAAAACAAAATATTCCCTCCTCTTGATAGCAAAAGATTTTAAAATCACAGAAAATTTGAGGAGTTAGAAAGAAAGTTAGGCTTGGCAAGCCCTGGGAAAAGTGTTAAAAGTAGGCCCTGGGAAATGTTAGGCCTTGTGCTTGCTAAGATCATGTGAAACTGCACCTGTGTAGTCAGTATATGATAAATTACATAATTGTTAGATGTGACCAGATATAATTATTGTTTAAAGAATCATGAGAAACTATGTTAAGGGTTTGGTTGAGTAAAATCAATGCATACAATAGAACAATGTAAATTTAGTAATTAATATGAAAGTTATATAACTATAGAGTATAAAAACATGTTCAACTCAAAACCAAGTTGGGTCAGATTTGGGTATGTGTGCCCCTGACACCCAGAGCTCTTCAATAAAGCACCTTCATATAATCATTCCATGATTATGTGTTCCTGAACGCTAACACTCTTAACATCAAGACATGTAGTCTATGACTATTTATATACACATAATATTAAGTGATTATGTACAAAAATAATACAATACCTTCCTCTTCACTGGAAGTCTTAGGGCAGCCATGAGGAAGATATGTTAACTGAACTTTGCGATTTATGCCTGAAAAATGCCCATACCTTAAGTGCGAACAGGGGAAAATGAGAGGGGAAGAGGAAGAGAAACATTTTATATCATTTCCTCCAAAACTGCTAAAATCCTGTGATAGGCTATAATAAATCTCTGTTGGTCAATGGCTTGTGCATTTGATCAACATTTATTGAAGCAGTCGTTAGAATAAACATTAACTCAACATGCACAGAATTAGCAGAAATAGCAACTATGCTATAATGAAACATCTTAAAATACTATCTAATTCTGCTTTTTACAACACTGAACATACAACTGGAACCCACACCCTGCCACCCCCAGCAACAGGCAGTATTGGACATGGCACAAGTAATTTCTCTATTCAGATCTAAAACCACAGTGGCTATCAATATCCAGAAACTGGTCTCACAGTATAGATGGCTACTGGTTTTATAGTCCATTAAGTTCTCAAGCAAAACTCAGTATTTAAAACAATTATAAATGTTAATAATAATAATAATAATAATAATAATAATAATAATAATAATAATAATAATAATAATAATAATAATAATAATAATAATCTTTTCCATGGTATTTTTTAATTAAAAATTCTTACTACCATTTCACAGTCTAAGATCCCAGATCCTAAACAAACCTTAAAGCCTTATTTATTTTTCTGTTGTTTCCTTTGTTTGGTCAGGTTTTTCAAGCTTTTTTTTAAGTACTAAGTATTTCAGGCTTAGTATACAAAGACTTCTTTATCTTCAATCCTCAAATTTTGCTCTAAGTAGGCAAGTAAGCATGGTGAAAGTTCTTACTGGCTCTATCAGACGTCATTATGTCACACTGCAAGAAGCAGACCCTGCTTACAAGTATTTTTATTTTAAAAACATGTGGTAAGACAAAATTTGACATCAATGAAAGTAACCTCTTGTTGAATGTATACTGAGACACTAAGTTAGAAAGTCAAGAAGAAAAAACTAGAGTGATGACCCATTTCAAACATGACATCATCTCTCTTCAAAAACTTTGTGCTTGAATTATTTTACTATTATGTATCAATATGTACATATATGTACATATTATATATAATATGTATCAAATACATATTTGAAAACACTGCAATCCACACAGTAACTGGTGAAACAAGTCATAACAGCATATTCAACTTCATTGCTATGAAACCTGAAAATTAGACACTTACATTTCTAACACAGTCTTTAGCTGTTCAAGTTTTGCTTTACTTTCTTCAATTTCAGAATCATTGTTTTGCCCAAGTTCGACAAGGAGCTGTCTTGCTATATCAAGCACTTCCTAAAGGAAGAAAACATAGGATTTAATTCAATAGATAGGTATCTACTTACAAAGTATCATAGTAAAAAAATAAAGACAAACTTGCCTGCAACTGTTTTGGTTTTTTCAGTTTCAGTTTTCCAGATTTATATCCATCACATTTTTCAAAGAGATCAAAAAATCTTTAAGATAAAGAAAAGTAATTTTAAAATTCCATTAATAAATTAAATTACTACTATTTGTACTGGAGGCTCTAAAGTGGTATAAAATTAGTACCCTTACAATATTTGAAAGCCAGGTTAAAACCTGCAGTACAGATGTCAAACCAAGTTTTATCCAAATCCCATCTCCCTAAAAAGTCTTCAATGCATTAGGGAAATAAGACCATTGAAAATGTTCTGTTTCTGACTTGCTAAGTATTGAAAAAAGAAAAGAGGATATTCTATATATTTTAATGATATACTATTTGAATATGCAGCTATATCAATTCTTAATCTTCAAGAATGAGCCTAAACAGAAGTAGGGACCAAAAATACCAAGTGAGTATTCTTACACTTCTTCAGAATGTTCTGAATGCAAGAATTTAGTTCCAAAGTAAGTAATTCCCTTTTACTAAAACTGCACCTAGTTCTAGCTCAATTATTCTTCTTATGAATGTCAGCATAGAGATGGTATCTACCAGAAATTCAGTCATTAAACTTTGACAAAAACAACTACCAAAAGTAGTATGACATTGCATTCAAGAACAGTTATGATAAAAAGCAGAAGGCAGAAGTCACGGTCTAATGGAGAGCCAGAAATATTCTCTGCTGCATTATTTTTAACAAAGACATTTATAGACACAAATGTATTTTCCATAAAATCAAACAGGACTGTTTACAAGGCACAGCGTGGGTTGAAGGAAATCTGCACAAGTTGACAGTCATGCTGGAAAGAGCTGTGCATACTTGTAATTATTTGCAGTAACTAAAACTGTTAGATGTAGAGGAAAACAAAACAAAAAAAAACCCTTGCAATTGTGTAGTTCCTGGTCAATTCACTGCTTGCTTAGCCCTAAAATCCTATATTCTAAAATATGGAAAATTGGATTCTACTTACCTCTGATGTTTTACTTCCATTTTCATTTTTTGCTTTGGTGTTCGATCCCCGTGGCGTATTACAGCTATAACACATCGAAGCTCCATCCTGAAATTTCAAGCGCTGTATTTAACAAGTCTGTACACAAGGGTCTTTTATTTAATGTTAAACCAACCACAATCAAGACAATTGACAAAGCTGTAGTCATCTGACATAACTACAGAAGTGATGGAAGCATATGCAAGAATATATGGTTAACCGAAAATGATGTAAAGTATAAAATATAAATATTGATTTTAAGACTTAGGTAACTATAGGATATCTACTTTAAGTAGTTTTTAAACAACAATTTTGAGGATCATTAAATGAGAGAGCATGTTTATTAGAAGCGCATATTAAGTTGGTGCTAGAACAATGATTAGCAGTGGAAGCTATGCATAGAAGACGCTACACTAGAAAATCTGCTGTTCTATACTCAGCTTGACTAAAGGTGAGAAACTCTGACTGCTGGTATAGCAACTGTGATTCCTTCCTTGTTTTCAGCACACAAAACAAGCATTCATAGGCCAATGTGGGCACACCTTGTAAAGAGAAAAAAAGATTCACAGAAAAGTTACATTGAGAGTTTGAACAATTCAGGTGTAGCTACTCTTTTCTTACATTGTTCCAGAGGTGGTTGGCACAATAGGAATGTCTTCAGCTTCCAAAGGAATTGACCATGGTATTTGGAACTGGGGAGCAAGTTCTCTCATTATGATGTTTCTAAAATAGAAGTTAAAAATAAAAAATCAAAATAAAGAAGTTCAAAGCACAGCTTATACAACAGACAGAAACTCCAAACCAAACCGATTATATATATACATTTTTATTAATTTAGTTATTCATTATTATCAGCCATGAATGTATGCATACATGCATATTTTTCTTTTAATTGCATAATAAAGATTACTGAATAATTTAGAGCTATTACAACTACCACAGGGACGCTAGACTACTGGCCCTATATTGGTAATGAACTTCAGCTTTTCAATTCTGGATCCTAAAATAATTCCTTGGATAGGAATTATTTTTGTTTATTTATATATGCAGACAATTGGTTTTACTGCTTAACTGAAAGTGCCTAACAATAACCAAGCCATTCTCATCAAAGAGTTAACTGCTATCTTTTACCAGTAGTTTCTCAAAAGTTTTTGTGACAAAACTGGAAAAGATAGGTAGTTTCTTATCGTAACTATACAGTGACAATGCAGTCTCCGCCTCAAGAAGGATGGCACGTCTAATATTTCTAATTTGTCTACTTCTGTTTCACAAATATTTCATCAAAGTACACTGAACTCCAGATTAGTACCTACATAAGAAGCAGTAACACAGAGAAAAAAATGTCCAAGTTACAATAGAATAAGCCAAAATATAGTTGCTAAATATCCTGAAAAAACTTGCAAAATCTTTCATATAATAAGATTCCAGACAATTAGATCATGCAAAAAGATATGCTGTATCTCGTCAGTCTTATAAAGCCAGTCACAGTGGGCTTAGCCTACTTTGAGGACAACATTCCCTTGGCAGAGTTGTATTCCAAATTTTGTATGATCCCTCATTACACCTTTTTTTGCCTCCTGTGTCAGAGACAAGATGGTATGATAGAAGACACTTTGATTCTATTTCAGTTTGGTTTCGCTTATTTGTGTTGAAGTGCTTCACCACTTGAAAAGATCTCATGTACCTTTAAGAACTTCATCTTGCTTTCAAAATACTTATTCAGCCAGATTTTAGGAATAAGTAATTTAGTTAGTAGTTACTTATTGACTTAGGATTCTCTTTAATGATTTTTTTTTTTAATTTTTTTATGTTTGTTATGTTGGGATCATAGTTTTGGAGACAGACACATGACAGAACACACCAAGGGTCATGCGACAACAGCTGGAGTTTATTGATGGGATTGGCTAGGGTCCCCTGCTTGAGTTCAAATACAGCCTTATCATTGCCTCACCCAGGGACTTGTTTACATCTAGGCTGGTTGAGCTTGGGGGTCTGCCACTGCCAAAGTTATCTGTGCAGCTTCAGACCAGCTGCAGATGCCACATATGTTAATGACTTTTAATGTGATATTTAAATAAAGAACTAATAGTTATAAGAAACAGTGAATAGTACTAAGTAAATACTAGTAGTAAGAAATTTGGCAGTATATAAACTACAATAATAGGCAAGGGACTTAATAAGCAAATCTGAAATAAATCAGAAAACTCTTACCCCAGTATCTTAGCACAATCATCATAGTATTTCATGGAGTTTTTCACAAAACTGAAGCCATTCACATCACAGACATAGGATTGTCCATTAGCACGCAGCAAATCAAAGCCACAAACTGTTTGCTGTTTTAAAGAATAAAAGCTCAAGTGATTTAGAATTGCTTATTCTAAATGAACTTTGTATTTTAACAGGGTATTCATTTGGAAATGTAACAAAAACATGACACACTTTACACTTAGTACCTCATGTAAGTTCCATGTTAGGTTCACCCACATCATGCAAACATCTTCCTGTTTTTAACTTTCTATCCCCAACCTTATTTTATGCCTCCTGCATATCCCTAGCTGTCTTAGTATTAAAGGCCAAGTTTACATGAGCACAAACTTCAAGACTTACAGCAACCATGGGCCTACAAGCCCCCCTTTCTGACAGTGGTTTCCCACTACCTGTAGTTTTTAAGGATGGCAGGCAAGAAATGACAAAATAATTTGAAGAACCATTTTTGTCAAAATTTGACAGGATAGTTTTGACATACTATTGATCTATAATATCTATAATACCATAATTTAATTAGTAGAGGATACTAGAAGCTATTTCAACAGATTACTTTTTAAAATCTCAGAGCCCACTTTGCTGATAGAGGCTCACACCCTACAGGCTCCAGAATGCCATCACAGTCACACACACTGGTAAAGGAGACAGACTGAAAGGAGACTTTTTTATAAAACAGGTGAAAGGAGGATGTTGGGGGTTAGGTGTCTTTTTCTTATTATTTTTTTTTTATATTTTTTTTTTTTTTTTTAGTTCTGGCTTTTCTGTGGAATTTTTACCATTAGTTGTGGGGACAACCTAACTGTGGGTACTTGGTGGGTGATTGAGTGAAGACAAAGAGGTTGGCCGAGCCCAGGCAGGGAAGGGGGAAGGAAAAAAGGAGAGTGGGGACAGTTTGTCAGGCTTTCTTCAGCTTTGGAGAAGGACACTTCGGGTGCAGAGCTGTTGCGGTGGGGAGAAGGGAATTTTGCCATCACCCAGACGGAGCTGCTGCTGCGTCTCCTTCTCCCCTCTTTGTTGGTGGCCTCGCACCCCCTGTCCTGCCGGGACGTGTGGCAGTGCCAGGCACCACCACGGAGCTGCTGATCCACCTCAGCCACCAGCCCAGGATCTCAGCTCATCCCTGCTGTTCCAGCTGAGTGTTCCTCAGAGCCCTGCAGGAGCACCGGGACTGACTGCCCGAGGGGTTGTGAAACAAAACCTCTCCTCCATCCCGTCTCTGGTTCTGTTTTCTTGTTAATGCTGTAGTTATTGTTTGTTTGTTTGCCTGGTTATACTAGTAAAGAACTGTTATTCCTATCCCCAGATCTCTGCCTGAGAGCCCCTTAATTTCAAATTTATAATAATTAGGAGGGAGGGGATCTACATTCTTTCATCCCAAGGGAGGCTCCTGCCCTCCCTAGCAGACACCTGTCTTCTAAAACTGAGACAGAGGATGAGAGACTGAATGAAGTTCAGAACAAAAGAATCCATATATTATATAGCAATCTTAAAATTATACAAAAATGGAAACTATCAAATTAATATCAATTTATCCACGACTTAATCATGTCAGTACCAAATTAACAATTAATCTACAGATGTAAATACTAGGTAACCGAAGTTCCAAAAACATAATTGAAACTGTGTTTTGCTAATTTAGAAACTATTATCAAAATGTGTGAAAATATTGTACACAGAAAATGGATACACTGTGGGCTAACAAAGCACAATAGCAACATGTAAACTCTGGGAACTAATGCAACCCAAGCAACTTATCCAGAACTTTGCAATACATTAAAGGAAGAATCCTTGATTAAAAAAATGATGTCGATATGGAAGTTTAATTTTTCATCTTCCTAGGAGTTCTGCAGCAATTACCACTGCTGGCTCATGCACTAAAACCCTATGGAAGTTTCAGGTAACAAACAATTAATTAACACTAAATGTTTGATCAGATAGGAAAGCAATCAGCTTACCTTAAAGGCAAGACATACTTTCCAAGCAATTAACTTCTCTCTTGCATTCAGAATGACTGGGTATCTCACTTCTTTTCCTTCACTGTCTCGTTCTACTTTGCCATCCAGCGCTGGAGACTTCCGGGCCTCAGCATGAGCATAGTCTGGACCTACTGTGTACACCTGTATTGAAAAAAAGGAGCTCTTGATCCAGTGTATTTAAATTAGGTTGCATAAATTTGCAAAATATATGCATATAACTGAAACATGACAACATCAAAAGATACTAGCTGCTTTCATTATTGAAAACATTACACTAAAGTATCTTCCTCAGTGGCATTCTCTGCCTTCAGAGAATACACAACATTAACAGACAGGCTAGGATAAAACAAGAAAAAGAGTCATTATAAAAACTCAGTTAGTAAAAATTAATTTCTCTATTATGATAGAGATGTAAATGTTTTCTTCTCCAAAACATCTGCAGAACCTGGAGAACAGGTTAATTTGAGAATTATTCAGTTTACTTACAGAAATCTGGCATCAGGACTAAGTGATTCTCTTAATTTAAAAGGTATGTTTACATTTTAGACAGGACTAAACCAAGCAAGGATCAACCCAGCTTTAAGATGGCAATGCAGGAACTTGAGAGAACAATTGTGTTATTTCCCTACTGCAGTTTTGATGCTCACTGGAGGGTTTGGGGCATATGCTAGAAGAGATGTGTCAGCAGCTCTCAAAAATAGGCTACAGTTTCTTTAATTAAAAAACAAACTCCAAGCACTGATAAAAAACTGTATTCAGCTAAAGCAGATGAGTTCCATAACTGCCAACTCAGTGAACTCAGGCAAGAGCCTAAGTTTAGTGAAACTGCTGAATATAAAGCTGAAAATCTTGTTAAAAAATACATTATTTATTTGGAGTGTTAAAAGACCATTGGTGCTTGTTGACTACACTACAACTAGTCAAAATAGTCCCTACCCCTCAAGCCATTTGCATCTCTCCTTGTTGCAAGAAACTTTGCAGAAAGTTTGGAAAGCTCTTACACAAATGTCTGTAAACACAAATTAACCTATTGCAAAGTGTTACACAGAATAACCTTTGGAAGAGTACAACAGGGCATTTTTCTGAGAACATGAAAAGAGCATTCCCCTCATGCACCAAGTGATAGCAAGAAGCTGACTGCAGTTAATAAAAGGGCTTTTTGGATTAGTCCTCACACTCTCCACGCCTGCACCTTTTTGTCTAAACATGGTGATCTCTTATGTATATTGTAAAACATTGGTTTCACATGGTTTTAAATGGGCTTAAAATAGCCAAAGTGAACAGAAAGGGAAAGGAATGGCTACTTTGTTATCTCTCTGTTTTAGCATTCTCTTATGGTACCTAATCTTTACCTCTGTTAAGAACTTAAATGAACAAAAGACTGAAAATTGTTACAGGTAAGATCCACAAAGGTTATCTTCTTTTACTCCATAAAATTTTAGCAAAGAACTTTCATTTATTAATTAGCATATTAAGATCTACTTCAGTTAGATTTCTTTATAACCTTTAACCTTCAGACAAAATATCTAAGCATCTGTTAGCATGGGAAAGAAGATGCTGTTCTGGCACTAATACAATGCAAAAAAAGACAATTATGTTGAGTAGCAAGCCTCCAGCACACAAGCACAGCTGCTCTACATTACAACTACTACATTTAGCTAGAACCAGAATTGAATTCTTTATTTCTGGAATGTATTAAAACTCAATTAAAATTAATCCTTGACCAATATATACTATTAACTATAAAACTGACAAGCTTTGAACACTTGATTGTTCTAAATATAAATAAGAATGCGCAGTTGTCATACCTTCACATCAGTTCCATCTGTAGGCATGAATTCCTCATAAATATAGGAGCCTGTTTTCCTTACACTGCTTTCAGGAGAATAAACACTGCTTCTGCTGCCAATCTGAAAGATGTATTTTTCCATTAAAAATTCATAGGGTATGGCTTGAGAAACTTTTAAACTACCTAAAATAACACACTGAAAAAACTGAAAAAACACTGTACTGAAAAAACATTTCCTGTACCAAATGAAGCAGACTTCTGATCATTGCCAAAAGATTTTTTAAGATTTTAGAAGTACACTCACGGTGTGTACTAAGAATCTGCAGAAGCTAACTATCTGCTGCAAGAAACATAGGCCTTCATTCAATTTACATGTTCCTCTGAAATTTCTCTGATCTGCCACTATTCCTGAAGCAAGCAGGACATAACAGAATTACTCTGCAATCCTGTTAAGACACCTAGAGCTTTTCAATAGCTTTAGTACAATAACCTCACCTTTCGAAAGAGCCTCTGGCTTCCCCCTCCAGCTGATGTTGGATAATAAATGTAAACATTGTGGTCCTCAGCACTAACTGGTTTTTCTACAAAGGGCTTCTGGAAAATTTCTCCATTCACTTCCACATGATCTTCTCCTTCAATCAAGCTGCATTCTGAAGAACAGTACAAAGAACAGTTGTAACAATATACTAATGGCATACAATTATTAAGAGATCTGCATTAATTTGCAGGGTGAAATAGTAATATTCCATTACATCTTTGTCTCTCTGATTTGTTACTGACTGCACAACAAGTGATGATAACATGCAGTATATGTTTGCTGTACCATGTCTATATTATTTAAATACTATGTTCTGAAATTTCTGTTGATTTCCTCGGTGTCAGATACAAAACTGTTTCCTGCAGGTGCATAAACTGCATAAGGTGGTATATTTTGGAAATGTTTTGAAGAGAGGGAAACACTATTTGTCCTTTTTTTTCAGTACCCTTCTCTGAAATATGAGAAGCTGACAAGTGAACAGTACACACAGTGTGATGTCAGATGCTTCAGCACCTTCCATAGGGTTAGAAGTCATAGTATCCCATACTGTGTGATAGATGCACCCTGCATATAAGATTAGGTCCTCTGGTATCAGCAATCACGAATCTGGTATTCAATACTGGTTAACTGCAAGCAGTAGCTTTTATTTCACTTTTGTAGCATAAATATGTCCTTTTTTCCCTAGATCACACAACATTTTAATGCAAAATCCCCTTGACCTGTCACTGAAATCTCTTACTGCTGCTTAAAGTCTTCATTTTAGCAGAAAAAGTTCAGTCTGTTTCCAGTTACACAAAAAATTAATTCCGATTTATATTCATAGTACAGCATCTACAGATATATCTAGAACAGATTTCAAATATATGGCTGTTTATTATACTCAGAAAGGGAAGTATTCAACAGCCAGACTTGTTTCTATCATTACTTTACTAACAAAAATTACTAATAATTGTGGTTAATATAATATCCTGAATGCTGCTCTCTTTGCTGACATATTAGAAGCTCAGTTTGAGTAGGGAGGCCCTTATATTCTATTTATCCTATGATGTCTGTAAGATGTATGGTGTCAAGAGTCGGACTTCTCAGTTCCATACTTGTGCTGCCTTTGGCTGGGATGGAGTAAATTTTCTTACCAGCAGCTGGTATGGTGCTATTGTTTTGAACTTGTGACAAAAGTCTTCATATTTTTGTTAATGCTGAACAGTGCTTACACAGCCTCAACCTCTTTTCTTTTTCACATACTGCCCCCCACAGCCAGTAGGGGTCAATCCACAACACTTCAAATGCTGGTGAGGACACCAAACCACAAAAATGAATTGTCCAGGCAGCGAAATTTAGCTTTCCACAATGTCCCAACTGTTCTCCAGTGGAAACAAAGAGATGCTAGTGGTTGACATTTTTTCTCTGTTCCTCTTACCTTGGGGATTGTTTGGATCACGGTTCAGAACTGCATAGCGAGGAAGTAAAATGCCTTCAGCTTTAAGAATACCATAGACTTCTCTTCTAGAAAAAAAGAACAAATATTGCACAATAAGCCAGCAAATCCTCTTAATATTTGTGGATTACAATCCATGAACAAAGGAGGAGAAAAATAAACACAATTTTTTAAAAAAATCACATAGGATAAAGTTACATATATAATACTCTGTTTAGTAATATAATGCTTTAAAGGTCATTGATACAGCTGTACCTTTGTAGTGATCTCTTGAACATCAATAAAAATACACTTTGCAATGCCAGTCCTTTCCCCTCTGACAATGCAACAGACATTTGCACAAAACAGTTGTCTTGTTTAAGGAGATCTGCAGCTGTTCATTTTAAGTTTATACAGAACAGTAACTGAAGGCTTCCAGAATAGTAAGTCTGCTCACTGTTCAGAAAGTTCCAGTGTTTATGTATTTTGCTCGCTATTGTTTTATTAATGTTTGCTATGTATGACCTCAGCTCCAAAAGAAAATCTGCTTTCACTAACCACATGACTTTTGAGTACCAACAACTTGTCATCTTTACAGAAAAAAATACTGTGAATCACATGAGTTCTACAATTATCTGAGCTTGTACAGCTGCTATACATACCTATGCTCTATGTACTTTAAGAGTTTAAATTATTTTATTTGCTAAGCTTTAGAAAACTGTTATCACCAAATTTCTAACCTGGTCAGTCTTCAGACTGATCAGTGTAAAAACAGCAAAACAGAAAAACATATCTGAAGATTAGTAAGTGTAACATTCACTGTAATTTTATTTAAATTACTGTACAATCATGGAATCAGAGGATGGTCTGAATTAGAAGAGATGTTAAAAATCATCTAGTTCCAAACCCTCCACTATGGGCAGGGACAATACACTGGAATTGCTGCTATGCAATAACAAGAAATTTTCACAGTCTCTGACAAAAATGGCTTGATTTACAAGGTGATAAGTGTTATTTACCTGTCCTGTATGTGATACTGCATATTCAAGTCATTGATTATGAATGGATTCCTGAGTTTTGCATAGGCTACTGCTTTGTCCAGTGGGAACCCTAAAATGTTTATTAAGAAAAACAAATTAAAATTACAAGACACATTACCAGTAAATAGTTTGGAACCTTTGCATTAGATCACTATTTCCACTGGCTTTAAACGTACTTACCAGCGGGGCAGCTATTCTTGTATCCTGTCAGACAGGACTTTCTCAAGCAATGTAAACAGCATAATTTAAAAAACTTACACTTTAAAAGTAATTTGTATTATATTTAAGAAGACAAAAGAATCACTTCCTAGAAAAACCCGAAAAAACTGCAAGACAGAAAACATAAAAGGGCTTTCAAAATTTTTAAATTATTTCAAAGAAATAATTTAGATGTCACAAGTATTTATGGTATTATTACAAGATTTACCTTTAGAGTGAAAAGAAATGAGACAGTCACATAAAGGCCAATTTTCTACTGGCTCATTCAAAATAACATCCTCTTCAAATATCACCACAGTTATATACTTAAACATGGAGAGGCGTTCAAGAATTTCCTTCATTGGTTTGGACTTTGATTTCTTAGCCATTGAACAAATCCCCACTGCAATTTGTCTTTCTGGTGGCTGGAAAGGAGGTGGGGAGAAGGAAAAAATAATTATTACATGCTCTCAAAACACAAAAGGGTTTTAGCAGCACAATACTAGAGCAGGTATTTTCTCTTAAAATTCACATGCTACCTTTAATTTAATTTTTATTCAGGTAAATTGCTAGCAGATAACAAAACGCAGCATAACAGCATATCACACTGCATCTTCACAAAAAAATGTCCCAGGAGTGAAACTATTTAACAGCTCTATATTACTTTTTGTGAGTATTGTTACCAGAACAAACAGATATGATCAAAAGCTAAGTCATGAGTGTCAAATCTGAACAAAATCATACTTACGGCTTACTCTGAAATCAACTGGCAATTGATTTTTCAATTATGTAATTTTTTTTATGTCTAAATAACAGTCACAAGGCTTCTCATCATCTAATATTATGTGAATTATGAAAAGGAAAACTAGAAAACAAGAAACTACTTTTGTAGATTTCTGAACTATTTAGTGCATAAACAGTTTCACTTTTTTTTGTATACTCTATATTTACTTTCACAATGAACTTTCAATATTTTTTTTCTGTCAACACTATTTCTAAAAGCAACACCAACCTACTGTGCTCTATAAAGAAACCCAAAAACCCCACACAGCAATTCTTTAATTCAACTTAATGCTCTTTGAAAACCTAGTCAGCTACCTTCCCTTGCCAAAACAGACTCATTGAATTGAGCTACCTCAGCTAATTTTGCACTGCTACTCTGGATTCCCAAGTTATTTTTAATTGTGGGAAGTGCTTTAGCAATGCTGTCTTGCATTTAGGCTTTTTAGATGTATTTACAATTAGAGAAAATTTAATCTATTCCATAAAGTGCAATGTTGCAAAAAGATCAATGAAGAGTTAAAAAAATTACATGACTCATGTATAATAAAATTAAGAGTTTGTCTTAAGCATGCTAAAAACCAATAAGCACAGTGCTCAAATACAATTCAGAACACTCTATAAAGATAATAAACTATGGTATAATTTAAGATTAACTTATTATGCACTTTCAAAATACCAAGATAAGAAAGAACAACAAAAAAAAATTTAAAAAAATTAATTATGAAGCAATGGACAGTACACAGAAGAGAATTTCCCAATAGTTTTTTTGCTTCCAGCTAACCAAATAAATAAAACAGAAGCTTATGCCATCAAGTACATTCCCAGAACCCAAATCAAGTCTGCAAATCATGCACATCAACCTCAGTTGCCCTGAAACTCTCTAAAATCAAGCACATCTACTTCACAGTTCAAGGTATACTTAATTTTCTTGCATCCCTCTTTTCCAAACATTACTGACAGATCATTATCTTATCGATATCATATTGAATATGATTTCTCAATTTGGAACACCATTTCAGTACTAGACTTACGTGAGCTAATGCCATTTTTGAAAAATAATTAAATACTGAAAAACATTTTGAAAAAAAAAATTTTTAAACCACTTTTGAAAAAAATTTGGAAATCAGAAATAATGTTCTAGAACAAAGAATACTAAACAAAGGTCCCTACAGTACTTACAGAGTCATACTCTTCCTCCTCTTCTTCCCCATGGTCATAGAAGTGTTCGTAATCTGTAGATCTGGCTGAATCCAGTAATCCTTCTCCATCCTCTCCACCCACAAAGAATCTGGGAGGATCATTCTCTGTTGCATTAACAGACATGGTTACAAGACCTATAGAAATCTATGTAAAAATTGCAGGCACTCTGGCAGGTGAGATCCTGGGCATGTTTCCTACTCACTCAGGAACACCAAAGCTCCTGCTCTTTGATATTGCTTGTGCAGTGCTGCCACTATGATTGCGTTGTTTACCAGGCACTGTTTAACTTGTTATCATCTGCTCATTACTTATTAGATTTGCTGCTTCAAGAAACCGACAATGTGCTGCTTTTTCCCTGAGATGGTGTGACTTTTTAACCTACAAGAAATAGAGGAGAAAAAAAAAAAAAAAAAAAAAAAAAGACACACTTGATCAGGTGAGATAAAATAAACTCTTCTCATTTAGGAAAAAGTGTTTGGACAATTATGTACCTCTGAGCAAAGCATCAGAAAGAAAACAGTGTGCATCACACAGACTCTACTTTTAGAGGTATATTTAGAACATGGGGAATAGTTTCAAAATTATTATCAAACTACCAATACATATATTTTAGAAATAGACAATGTAACTCACGGAAGTAAAAGCTGGCAAATGAATTTTTTTCTTAGCTTAAGAAAGCTTAAGTGGAGAGTATATATTTTACATGAGAAATACAACAAAAATATTCTCCAATATTGACATTATTTTACTCACTATCTATGTTATCAACTGTTTTTTCCCACAGAAGTTTTGCGACCAAATGGCAATGGCAAACAGACAGTAGTTCTAATGAAAAACATAAAGCCACCATTAGGACTGTTGAAAAAAACCCCTAGTCTTAAAACTTGATTTAATCTTCTCTACGAAAACAAAATGTATGTGACAGCTTGCAACAGTGTTGCCTTATTTTCACTCTGAAAAATTAGAAATTACAGAGATGGACACTAGCACTGCCTTCCAAAATAAGGACTTCTAACTACTGATGTAGCAGTGAACACGAGACGTCTATGGATTTATAAGTTTCATTATAATGTATCACCACTTTTTAGAAAATTAACAAGCAGTTACTTCTTTAGAAGCTCATCTGATCCAATGGGTTAGATGGCTTATTTGCAGGTCATTACGCAAGTGCTATTCAACAGTGATGTCTCAGCAGAACTGAATTTGTTTCTAAATATCAGTCAAAATGACTTTGGCTGTCCTATGAACTAAGTGAAGCAATAGTAAATTCCCAGTGGTGATAAAACCGTTCAGCTTCCTGTCTAGGGGAGGGTAAGCAAGGCAAAAGTTACCCAGAAAGAATTTGTTCTAATTAAGAGGCTGTGGATCAATAATACCGTTTTGGTTTTGGAGATAAATTTCAGGAGACAACACCCTGGAATGAACGTCTCATCTAAAGAGAAAAAGCCCTTCCGTTAACTCCTATTTCTTCTGCCTATGAGAGAAATTGATACTGTAATAAAAGGAATTGATTCCTGCTAACTAAATTGTAACTGTTATTAAAGTTATTATTCATAACATAAATAAATTTGTGCTGAAGTTATAACCTTGTCTGATAAAATTCCTAGCGTATTTCCAGGAAACCTTCTCTGACGAGATTCTAGTGATATGCAGCAAGGCCAACATGAATATGCGTTTGCAGGGAGCATGCATGGTCAAGAAACCTCAGTCTTGTAAGATTGTAACTCATGAATATTCATCTGGAAGAAGTGTATTTCCAA